CCTCCCACCTCGGCTCAGCGGAGGCTCTCCCGCTCGGCGGCTCAGCTGTGTCCGCTAGGGAGCAGCTAGGCTCACGCTGCCGTCGCTCTTCCCGTTTGGAGCAGCAGTATCCGTCCATGAGCGAAATGGACTTTTTTTCTTTTACCTCACCCAGAGACTGTTCACCATCCACCCAATCAAAAGACTGTAAATGCTGACACAAATATCCATTGTCAATTGTTTTTTTGTTTGTTTTTTTTACTCAGTCTTCTTACTTTCTACTGATTTTTTTTTGGCAACCTTCATTATCTTTATTTCTATAATAGTTGTCGTCATCATGTATTTGTTTATTAATTTACTTTGAACCTAATTCACAATTGTGTGTATCTTTTTCCTCTTCATTTATTCATGAACACATTTTCAGACAGTTTTTTTTTCACCCATGTTTGGCGACCACCGCCGCCCTCTGGTGGTCAAAGTGCGAAACCACATACTGTTGCCAGAAACATAGATGTGGGTTTTTTTTGTTTGTTTGTTTTTTTTTGTTTGTTTTTTTGGGTTTGTTTTTTTTAATTACAAACAAACAGAAGCATTTTTTATTTTTTATTTTTATTTCCAGCTTGTACCCAATAGTTGGCATGAAGCCTACTTTATTTGATGCTAACATAAATGAGCTGTGTTTATCTGGATATCAGCTGTGTAAACTTTACTGACCTGCTACAACGAATAACCAGATTGAGAGGCAAGCTAAAGCAAATTACTTCTGTTAATATACTTTATTGATGATGGTGATGAAGTTTTGTCACTTGCAGTTGCCTGCAGCAAAGCTGGACCCATTCCAACCACACATACATTTATGCCGTCTGTCTTTGCATTGTCTCCTTATAGTCTTCTGTTAGCTTACCAGAAAGGTTCCAGGTCATCTGTAACTCCACTGAGCGCATTTAGAATCAGGTGGTTTGATCTTTTTAATCACATCTTCATTTGACATTACAAATAAACTGACAGGAGTGGAGAAATGTCTCACTCTTCCAACATGAGCTCTGAAATCTCTGCAGCGTGCTGCAGGTGCTTTTTTTCAGTGAGAAATATTAGCACAATTGGCAGTGAAGTAAATCAGTCTGATCACTTGATTTTAATATTCCAATTCTTTTAATTTAACGCACCATCAGTTGTGTTTGAGGGATCAGAACAATAAACCCTGAAAGACAGCCTCTCCAGATGACACTTTCAATTAGCTGCAGACTAGGAATTTGTAGACTTAACGATAAGAAGCACTTTAAGCTTTTCTAAGAAGGTGTCCAAACATGTCAAACATAATGTAACTGGAAGTGAAAAGTTAAAAAAAAAATGCCCATGAGAAAAGTGATCTGGAAAGAGTGTGTCTTAGAAAACAGCTTATGATCAAATAGATATTAAGGTCAACTTTTGATATCTTTTCACATGAAAAATTAAACAACACAGAAAAATTAATTCAGTCACATCAGCGATTATGTAGGATATTATTATTATATAAGTATTATATAAATTAAATTAATTAAAAAATCATTTCCCCCAGGGATCAATAAAGTATTCTGATTCTGATATATATATATATATCCTGTAGACAGTACCTGTTATTGGTTTATAAATGTATTTTTATCCATAATTGAATAATTGTGTGTCTTTTGTCTTTCCTTTAAACATTTAACAAACATTTTTTAAGACTTTACAGTAAGTTTTATAATCAGTATGTTTGATATATGCCGCCCTCTGGTGGTCACAACGCGTAACCACATTGGGGCCTTTTATTTTGAAGTGTCAGACCGGATGTTATTTCCATATGTAATTTCTCTAGATGGATTATAGAGATTGACAGACCACGTGACTTTCGCGCATTGCATGCCGGGAACTCGTGGCAAAACAATCCAAGTACCTGCATCAAATGCAAGCATTTGCAGCACTGCAAAACGTTCATTCTTCGATTCCAATAAATTCTTGCTTTTTCTTTGCCCCCCAAAAAGGTATGTACAAAACGAAGAGAACAATGCCGGTCCGTACAAAGACAGACTTGATGAAAAGTCAAAGAAAAGATACGAGGAAAAAAATCAAACCAGTGAACGGGTCAGACCCTTAGGAGCACACAGAGGGACAAAATACGTTAGCGTGCTGCCCAACTTTCACCACGCTCATATTTATAATTATACGCTTCTTGGAGTGAGTGCATACACTCATGAAGTTTAGTAACTTCAGGTCACTGCAACAAGCCCAGGTACAGTTTACCGACGGATGGGTACAGGACCTTGAAATGCACCGTGTAGAAAGTAAAGACCATCGTACGAACAGAGGTAAGTTTACCAGCCTCACAAATCGTCTTCATAAATACACATTCGTTAACCGTTTATTAATATAACCTTTGAGCTCAATGGTAATTAATTAGTAGTGGAAATAATTTCTGGTAGCATTACAGAAATGTAGCAGTGACAATAATATTGTATGCTGTAATCGTACTGG